GAGCCCAGTCTGCTTGCAGCAGGGCTTGCAGTCTCCCAGCTGCCTGCTGGGAGCAGCCTGGGGTCTGTGGCTGGCAGAAGCTGTTTAGAGCCCAGACTGGCGGTGGTGTGCTGAGCAAAATGGCCTTGCGTGCCATGTTCGGCACGCGTGCCGGGGGTTCCTGACCCCTGCTCTAGACTGACTATTCTGCCTCCCTCGTCTTAACTGTGCTTATCACCATACAGTTGACTTTTTTTGCAGGGACTAAAGTAAACAAGAGATTAAAAACTTCAGTCTTCTCCACCTTGTCCATTTGTTAACTTCCCCCTGTTCAGACCTTCATGGATGCAAGGAGCTCAGGTCTCCTTTTGCAGCACGTGTGGCAAATTCCTAGAGGTGAGATGGAAGCTCACAAAGCACCCACTTAGTGGGAAGGCTGAAGTTACAGCTGAGATCACTGGCTATTTTTACAGCATTAGAACAGTAAGAGTATGCTGGTTTCTTGCTCATTTTCCAAGTGCCCTTTTATGAAATAATTTGTATTTGATACTTATTAAAGTATCCATGTAAGCAGGTGGAGTTCACAGCTGCTCCATACTGAATAAACACACACTTGATCTGCTCCATACTGAGCTCTAATCTACGATTTGCCCATACTGTTAAACCTAAACAGCAACAAGACATATATTGCAGCCTAAGCTTTCTCCTTAGTGGGGCTGTTCTTTGCATTTCCCTGTAGCACCCTGGTATCTAATGCTCTCTGTCCTATACTCTGTCAAATATGGGGACACCTACCCTAACACATATACATGGTCCTGCATTCCTGTATGGACTAGCAGCTGCCACTCTACTACAGACTGTTTTAATATCCAGTCAATGAGATTATGGCCTGAGCTATGCTTCTCAGGCATGGCTTTGAGCTGCACAGCCCCACTGGAAGCTCAAAACAGCTTCCTGTGAAAGCACAAGGAGCCCCTGGGGGTGCATCCTCCTTCGCACAGGTGCGGTGTGGACTCCACTCCAAGTTCCCCCCTGCCCCCTCCAGTGCCTGAGGGAAATGGCTCTGCATACTTGCTGGGGGTTACTGCCACGTGGCAGGAGAGCACCTTGTGCTCAGGAGGGGCACAAGACTCGGGCTTTTGCTCTGCTGTGAAGCAGGAGCACAGAGAGGAAGTTTTTCTGCCTCCTTTGTACTTCTGCACAATCATGCAGGGACTGGGCACAATCTAATCCAGTGTCCTTCAATAGCTAGCTGACAGGAGAGCCAGTGATCCTCTGTGAGTTTCATAATGGAAAGTTTCCCTAGAATTCTTCTCTGGGTAAGTATTCCTCCTCCTCCTCCTCCTCAGAAATTCAGTCTTTAGAGCTGTGAACTCTGAATCTCGTTGATCCATAATGGCTCTGGTTAAATAACAGGTCTTTGGCAGGGGACCTGCAGTCCCCTACAGCAGCCTGCCTTCCCTTAAAAGGAACTGTCTGGGAACCCCCTCCTCCCAAATACCATTCCTGAGCTGTTTCCATAGCACAAAAGTGGAGGCTGCAGGACTACTGCTGACTGTCTTATTTAACTTGTTCATTTGCCCTAAGGGGTTCAGAGGCAGCACAACAATCCTGCTGTGAAGAGTGAGGAGGGGGAGGATGACTGTCCATTTTATAAATAAAAAAGCATAGAGATATGTTGCAACTTGCTCAAGAGTACACAGCAACTCACTGGCACAGCCAGGCATACGACCCAGTGATCTGCCTCCCATTTCCCAGGTGCATTCTTCAGAATACATCACCCCCTACCTGTTTTTGCAATGATTAACACAAACCACCTCAATAGGAGCAATTTGTGATGAACACACAGTCATTTTTCTTGAATGAACACTGAATTCATAAAAGAAACTGTCTTATGTTATTGAGCTACTGTACCACTTAAGTGCTTCTAACTTTAGCTTCTGCCCTTATTGCACGCTACAGTACTCAGTTCAGGTTCTGGTTCAGAGGGGTCCTTTTTCAAACACCTTACCTCATACAGCTGTAAACAAATGGCATCTATGAATCCAACCTGCATGCTAGGGATCTTATTTTTCTTCTCTCTGTTCATTAGATCCTGAAATCATAAATCAATTCAGTCAGCTTTCATGGAACACATACCAAGTAAATCAGCTCTATAGTAAAATGAATGAAATAAGAAAATCCATGGGTCAGGTTGGCACTATCCAAACAGCAGCACTTCAAAAAAGCACAGGAGGCTCAGCACAGAAATGCAGAAGCACATTATGTTACAACATAGGAGCTTGCTTGGATGACCAGCTTCAGAAAACCTTTTTCCTCTGAGGCCATAGAGTTGGTGGAGTTGGAAAATCTACTTGTTCGGGGTGGGATACAGGTTGCACTACTCTTTAAGACTTCCCTTCCTGGACAATTACCATAGTTTCTTGCACACAGCACACAACTCCCACCCCAAGTAATCCCCCACAAAAGCTGTTTTGTGTGTTAACCAGGGAAGCTGATTTTTTGCTCAAGATAGAAGCACCCTGCTTTGATTCCTGCTCTGGTATTACTATTCAGGAATCCAAAGGGGTGGGGGGAGGAGCATAGGGCCATCATTCTTCACTTCACAGTTGTTAGCAATCATCTCTCCTTTTTAATGGTCATTCTGCTAATCAAGCTAAACTTTCTTAGGACAATTTTGCTGTCTGTCAGGGCTTCTCCTATTTCACAGCTCTTTAAATTCTCTTCAAGATCATAGGTCTATGACTGCCATGGAGACCAGTTTTTAGAAGCTGCTAGGGTTACATTTAAGCAGGAAGAAGAAGGTGGATCATCTGAAGATTAGGCTCTGTCCCTGCTCTCAGCAACCACAACTCTGGAAAAATATTTCTTCATAATGCCTTTCAAAAACAAGGTTTGTAGTATACTGGGAGAGGGGAGCAGAGGGGTGGGGGGGGATACTGTATGCAAGAAAATACAGTAGTTTAGCAGCAGTGCCAGTTACCTTTGAGAAATATATGTTCTTTGTGTCAGTAGCCTAAAGGACAGATGCAGGTATTTGGGAACCTAGCCATTAGTTGTCAAAATGGTGAGAAAGGAGCTGGGTCTATAGATCATAGACTTGCTACTGCAAGTATAATATTTAAAAAGAAAGAAAGGAAGGCCCCACTGACAGCAACTACCTTGAAAGTGGGTGTGCTTTCTTACTTACTGTTGGCTCTATGTTGAGTTCCTTTCTTTCCTTGTCTCCTTGGTCAAAAAATTCAGTGGCTACAAGCTCAGCTATCTGCAAAAAAGCGACATACCACATCTGTGAGTTGCAAAAGCCCTGGTGTTATACTCTCTGTGCAGGGCCAAAACAGAAAACTTAATTGCAGGACATTTGCCCTTAATGACAAAAGAATGACGTCCTAAACCTGAAAGGCTAGTTAGATGTCCTGAACTGGCTTCTCAAGGGGCCTATCTGTGAAATCTTTACTACTGAACCATGTTCTCTAAATCTGCTCAGCCAAGTAGTGAAATGGCAAATGAAACATTTTGCTTGGATTAAATTATTTTACTAAACTAGGTCTATTTTAATCATCAAACACTAATATTTTACTATAAGGAGATGTAACTGAAACAAGTGGCATTTGCTGGACATTAGTTCTGAAACACTGGGCTTAGTAGTAAATAGATTTCAGCCGTGACTGAAGAAATTCCAGAGGGCTTGCTCCTCTTGTTGTTGCCACTGACTTCAGAGAGGATTCACTGACTGCATATCAAGACAGAGTTGGACCTAGCAAGTCCCAGAGACCAAGAGCAGATACACATTTGCAGCAGTTCAAATTCCATGTGCTTCAGTGCTGTACAGATGTGTGGCTTCCCCTGACCCTTCTCCTGGAGCACTTAAAAATTGCTGTGATGTCATGCAGTAGACATGACCTCCAGGAAAGAGCTGCAACATGGTTTTCCTTAGTTATTAGCATTGTACATCACTCTGCTTGCCACCCTGGACAGGGAGGGAGGGAAAAGGAGGGACAACCAATGAGTGCTCTCTTGTGTACTTAGTGGGTCTTCGAAACCTCTAGAGACTGGCTGAGAGGCATACATGGAATTCTGTTTTCCAGCCCTCCAGTCCTGGAGATTATGTTGAGGGGGTGGTGACGGGGAAATGAAGTGCTGTGGGCCATCAGAAGACAATGGAGCCTTTTCAGAAAGTGCTTCCAAAATGCTCCTCAGTCTTTGAAGGTCATTTTGAAGTGCTTCTTTGACCACACATGCCTTCACATTTGCTGTTTGGAGGGCTTCAAACACACTTGGAATACTTCAAACAACATGTCTGTCCAAGGCCAGAAGCTCCTCTGAAATTATAATGCTTTGCACTTGTACACACCCTATTGTCCAAAGATTGCTTTATACAGGTTAACAAAGGCAAACCTCACAACCATCCTGAGAGACAAGGATTCCTTTACAAATGGGTAAAGTGAATATTAAGAACTAATTTTTTAAAATTAGACGTTACAACTAGAATTTTCAAAAGTGACTAGTGATTTGTGCACTTTGGTTTTTGTGGGACCTTAATCTCTTCCTTTCAAAAAATACCAAGTACATACCTTAAGAAATACAGGCCCATTCCAGCCGAGAACCCCAAAAAAGCCAAGAACCCCCACCTTGCAAATCACCAGTCCCTTTTCAAAATATTGACATGCAGGTCTAATTAACATACGCAGTTACCATGTTAAACTGGAAGGAACAGCGTACAATGAATATCTAGTGAGATAATTCATGACTGAAACGACAATAAACTTGCATACAAATGAAGATCTTTCTGAAAATGTAATTCTGTTCAGGGCATCACAGCATGTTAGCGGGAAAAGTAACTACAACCCAGAAGAACTGTGTCCGAGACCTACTCACTGACTACCAGACAAAGCTTCTGTTACTAATGCTTGGCATAAAACTAACCTGATTGTGTGCTATTGCCTTCTAGTAACAGAACATTTGGGAACAAATGAAAACTATACAGTTACCTTCTACTTACTGCTACAGACTGATTCTGCAAGATGCCCAGGGCCTTCTCCAGCAAAGTGCTGAACTCCTTTAACTCCCACACTGAGCACCTTGCAGGGCTGGTCCCTAAGGCTTCATCCTCTACCAATACCTTTCCAAGGTGGGAGATTTAAGGGATCTAATTTGAATAACCAGCACTTAGTAACTCTTAAATGAGGCATATACCCGTTGTTGAACTGGCCAGGGTTTTGTTATTGCTGACAAATCACAGGCAGTCATCAGCATTGCTCTGTAGAAGAAAAGAAAACCCATGATGTGTTGCAACATGAAACTCATGTAGCCATTAAAGCAAGATGCTAGTAATTATGGAATCCAATGATAAATAAAATCAAAGTCAGAAAAGCTGATGAAAATGCTGGAAAATTATAAAAATAATCTTTAGAGGGGACTACATGGATGGGGTTTGGTAACAAGGCACTCTGTTGTTCTCCTGTGTCAGCAGACCCAAGCAAATCTAGATAATGTCAGTTGAGAGTCAGTCCATTAGCTTTTGATGGGGCCACGTAACATGACCTGGTTGCAGTATATTTGCTACTGAATGGGTGCCACATTACAAAAATCATTGTCATCATTGATGGTAAGTAGTAACTTTGCTGTCTATTCCAGCAGGAAGGCCACTGAACAAGTCTGATTCCTAAAGGCTGTGCCTTCAAAGTGGGGTCACAGCACACTGATGAAACTGCCTAGGGATTCAGCTACATGGCTGAGGCAATTCAATGTGCCTTTCAGACTCATTCCTTTCATGAAAAATGAATGTGTTTCAAAACAAACAGCTCTCCCTGAATCTTTAGGATGCTGATTTTAACAGTTCACTGCTTTAGGACAATGCACCCACAGCAAAAGAACATTATGATACTGTCAGGAATCCTGCACCCTTTAGGAATAATAGAAGAGCTTATATAACTTTACAAGTCATCCACCAGTGTGCATCAGACAAGCCCTTGCAGCTCTCTCAATAATATTCAGTTAGGCATCCAATCACTGACCCCTTTGGCTTGTGTCCACTTGTGTAGGCCTGGATCTCACAGTCCTACAGTGGCTCTACTGAAATGTGCCACAGTGTGGCATGGAAAATCTGACAGATGATAGCACACAGTATGGTTTTAAACTTCTGCCATTAACTTACAAAAATAGCTCTTTTTGCATAGGATCTTCCCAGTCAAACTGCTTCTTTCTTAGAAGTTCAAAAAACTCTCCCCTTCTCCTTAAAACAAGCAAAAACAAGAAAAAAAGAGTTCATAATTGGGTCAACACAATTCAAACATCTGACAGGGGCTGGTCAGCCAAATTTGCTTCTAACTTACTTAATGTACAGTGCCAAGTCTGTGGCAAGAATGGCTTGTTTTATCATTTTCAAAGTGGCCTTGTATTCTTCAATAGAAAGGCTGCTGAGAATCTGGTTTCCCTTTACAAAGACAAAAAAAGAGGAATGTTAACAACCAAATATGTACATGTCAACAATTTATTACATTCTCTACTTAAGTTCTGAATTGCTCTCGGTTGTTTTCTTGTAACTGTTGGCTTTTTCTTCCTCTGCTCTCTACTGCAAATTCTCTGCAAACCATATTGCAGTATATTTGAATATTGGCCAAAAGTTCCAGGAACAGTATTGTAAATTATTATACAGTGGAATGCTATAGTATTTTTAGCAGGCAGAGAACTGGAGAAGCAAAGAGACTTTAAGTCTATCTCATTCCAAAGAGTCCCTTTGCTACAAACCACATCCTAGAGTTTCCTTTTCTTTTTCTGCAGTAAAGAGGCTGTGGCCGATTCAAAAATCATGGCTTAAGAACTTTGCAGCTTAACTATCATATGGCAAAAAGAAGTAGTCATTCCTTTATAAAACAACACAAACAAAGCATTTCATAAGAGATATGCAAGAACAGCAACCCACAGCAAAATCAAGGCACCCTGAGGATGATGATAGAGGAATCTGTTTCTATATGTTCCTTGCTTTTGTCAAGCCTGCAGTACCAAACAAACCATATAAATATGCAGTTTTGCTCTTACTGTGAATGCCAAATAGCTGGTTTTCCAATGAAGAAGCAAAATGTCACACATTGTATGTGTTTATTTCTGGGGCTTTGTTCAAGCTTATCTGTAGCCATGGGATGTGTAACTTTTTTCAAACTGATTTGGGCACATAAAAGCATGAGTCTTCCTTAACATGTAAGCAACATTTCTGGCTCAGAGAAGGATTTGTTACTGATGACAGGTGTGTCAAAATTAAGGCTTTTAATTTTGTTTGGTCCAAGAAAGCAGGTACTCAAAATGAAACCAGCAAAGCTGCCCTTGTCAGGCAAAGGCTTGAAATGGCCTGGTTGTCAAAAGTGGGACTGATTTCAAAATATTGTATTTGTTTTCTTTACCCAAAAAGGAATGAAGCTCTTTTGAGAATGTACAATACTGGGAATCTATCCAGAAACTAAAAATACAAGCAAAACAAGCTAGGGTTTCAGTCAAACACATGAAGAAAGAAGCCATTTACCGGACTATTCAGGATCATCAGGCACTGATCAAAATGGTGATGCTCCATGATGGAGTGGCAGTAGAGCTGAGCCAGGGGATGTTCGCTTCTGAGAAGTAAAAACATCACATTGGGAAACTGAGAAATCGAGTCAAATGCATCCACCACTCAGCAGCATTTGCCAGCACGACTCACTCTGCTCTGTGTCAATTAACCAACTCTCCCAGTGCTCCTTTCTTCATCCATTGTCTGCTCTCCTTCTTCCGTGTGACTGGTCAAGCAGAACAAACACATTCCCAGAGACTCACAGGGGAGCACAAATGCAAAAACAATGCAATTGCTTTGTCAAAGGCTGACAGCTCTAGAGTTCTGGGTTTTAGAGGCCATTAACACACAAGGAATAAGGAAATAATGCAAGAACCTTTAAGGGACAGAATTATGGAGTGAAAAACAAAAAGCAATAACAAAGGGCAATGAGACAGAAAACTTCAAGGGGAATGTTATTTTAATATCTGGTGATTTACACAACTGCCTTTGTTTACCATGTGACTTTAGTCAGCCCTCTACAGAGGCTGCTCTTCTGCAAGTTCAGGGCATGTACACGGCAAATGGCAACACAGGCTTAATAAAAAGCCCACAATGGAAAAGCACCTGTTGATTCCTATGGACTTTGGATCAGGACCTCTAAGAGTCAATGCCAACTGTTTCCTATTTTGTTTGTAATCCCCTACCCACTCTCAGGTTTTGTATCTCATTGTGTTCCAACATAAATGCCTTGATTTATCACGAGCTAGTTACTGAGAAATCATTCTGTCCCTGAGTATCAATGAAAAATCCATAAGAAAATGCTGTGTGGGGGGGTTGAGTAACAGCTTTTACTGTACCATTCAAAGTGGCAAAAGAGAACAACACTAATTGCTTGGATGCAAAGTTTAAACCTGTTTCTTAGTTTTGGATATTGAACTTGTGGCTAGTGGTTTGAGACAAAATATGGAAACTCTTCTTTGAAGATTTCAAAATTTCCTCCTTCTCCCCCATTGCGTGGTGATGTGATTTGCTTCTGTTACTACAAATCCACTATTTTTTAACTATATTAACTCCTGTGGTACACCTCTCTGACATCATCCTGCTAGCTAAGGGCAGGTCAGGAATCTCCCTCTAGCTTGGTTTACTGTTGACCCTGTACTCAGCTATCATAGAATCATAGAAGTAGGTTTGGAAGGGACCTTGTCACCATAATAAAGCACAGGGGCACTGATACACGAGACACTCCGGGCATTTTAACTGGAGTGGCTCTCGGAACTGCTCTAATTAAAGCATCCTCATAGCCCTCCACTCCCAGAGCACGTGTAAAAATGCCCTCAGGTTCTGAACAAAGTAGTGCGACAATGCTTCTGTTAGGCCAACAGGCCAGGCCCAAGGACACTTCTTTCAGAACACCACTTCTTTCAGAACACAATGGTTTGATTATGTAGCTTTCTCTCACTGCTCTTTACATACTGGTTTGGAAAAAATGCTGTGCATCTGCCAAGTGATCTTAAAACACAGTCCACTTCCTGTAATTTTTGCTACCAGGACTGTTCTCTGTATTTTTTAAAACCCCACTGTTCAAGGAAGAAAAAACTTATGTCAAATATCACTTTCCCCACCCCCAACAAACAAAGAAGTAGAAAGGATTCATCCCTGGACAATATTTTACTTTTAATTTGGTCTCCACCAGCCCAAATGACTTAAAAAACAAAATGCCTGGAACTGTTTTTAGTGAGACAAACATTATTAAGTTGTAATGGCCTCTACTTTTGTGGCATGGGTGAATGTTGGGTTTTGCCGTCTATGACTTTTTCCCAGGACATTTTTAAAAGAAGATGATGCATCTCCAGATGTTTTCCAGGAAATATATTTTTAAATAAATAAAGCAAAAAATAGTGAGATGGCTCCAATCACTTTAAGCCTGCAAGTTACTGGATTCCCCCCATTTGGGGACACGGGAACGTCACTGCTCCAGATTTTTAGTCTTTTTTGTTGTCTTAAATATCATGCTAAAAATAATTTTGAACCCAAGTATTTGAATGTGAATTGTCAACAAAAGAACTGAAACATCTGGACTTAAATATTTTCTTTTATTTTCTTCCTCTGCTCTCAGTGTTCCTTCCCTCACACACGCCTTTCCTCCCATATGAGCTACCTTCATAGTACTTTACTCTACACCTTTCCTTTCCAGTCAGCCTTAAAGCCAGTCACCAACTCTGCCAGAAAGATACCTCCAGAAATGTATATTATATGTTTTTTGCAAAGCTGGTCAGGATGAAACATTGCTGCCATATCACTGTAATTCTTTTATTTTTCCTAATCAAACTGTTTAATTAACGAATAGTAGTGTTAGAGTGGTGTAGTAGCCATTATGGTCCAGGAATTATGTAAGAGGCATGGATTTTTTTGGGTGATATCTTTTATGGGACCAACTGCATAGCTGGGATAAAGTTAGACAAGCTTTCAAATAAGACCTGGAGAATGTGTTGTATTCAAAAGCTTGTCTAACTTTATCCCAGCTATGCAATTCATCCAATAAAAGATATCACCAAAGAAATCCTTGTCTCTTCATCAATGAAGTAATATATTGAGCTGAGAGAATTATTTTTAGATGAACAGTAAAGTTACTAAAAAAAAAGGAAGAAGCAGTTTTGGGGTCAGCAATACTATTCATACATTTCATTACTATTCAAAGTGGCCAGTCATTTTGGCTGAAATAAACAGGGACAACATTTAAGAAAGAGCAAATGTTTTATTTTAAAGACTAAGCAAAATATCCTGTTTCAAAACAAAAATCCCAATTATTTTTAAATGGCATGTTTTGACTTTTGAACATGCTGAAACAATAGCTTTCATTTCAAAGATGAAATTTAAAAGTCCAACTTTATCCTTTTTTTAAAGAAAGCCTTTTGGGCTGACCTGAACTGCATTTTTTTTAATTTTTCAGTTCCCTTCTGAACGAAGAAATTCATCCTTCACACAGCTCTAATAATTAGAAGGATCATCTGTGGCTCACTGAATAACAGCAAAACTTTCACTGACTTCAATGATGAAGACCACTCCAGTGATTAGATCTCAATAGATAAAATGTCAAAAGTGCTGAAGTCACTAGACAGCATTAATGAGATGGATGTTCCTTTCAATGAGATCTATGCTTCTACAGGTTTAAGTTAGTTTTGAAAATGTGGCTTGTACTCCCTAAGTCAGTTTAGTCTTTTGTAAGCTTTACCTCAGTGTCTAATATGAATCGATGTGCTAATATCTGGTGTGTCTATGTCCGGTTAACACTATGGATATGCCCACACCATCCGAGCAATTCCCCAAGGAGTAGCACAATGAAGAATGGCACACTTGCTCTGTGCACACTACCTCCAAATATCAATGTAATGTAGCCATCTTAATACCAATAGAGAGACTGAGAACTTATTGTTGCTTGACCAGCACTGACCAGGGAGTGCATCCATATCATGCACAGGACAGGCATGTCATGCTTTACAGTATGACAGAGTCCCCAGAAGGGTCCTCAGGCAGCACAGCTGTGCCCTTAGTCTCCAGTCTCTTATTTCTTAGTAGGTTTTAACATCCTATGATAAATTTATTCCTTTAGACTTTTCACAATCATCTTACATAAACTGTATATCTAGTTTGCCTTCATGTTTTTAATTGGCATTTTCTTTCAACTAAATGTACACATTTTAAATGCCCTAAATCTGTTTTAGCCTATCTGGCATATAACAAAGTCAGGGAAATGGGTATAACTGGCGAGTTAAAATTACTGAATCAATGTGCATCATAGAGTGAAGTTACATGGTATACTTTGACCATACTAAGGGCACTTAAATTATGAGCATCTGCACATTAAATCTCCTTACCTCATGCAAAGTGCCCTCCAAAAAGTTCTAAGTTATGCCACTTCAGGTGAGGGCTAACTCTGGGCTGTGCTACCTAGGCTGTGTTAGGGTAACTTAGGCCTGGTTCATGAAGATAAAAATGAGCATTTGTCAACCTCTGTCATCCCAGAATGCACTGCTCCCAGCACCCTTGCCATCCCCCCACTCCCTGAGCAGGGATACAGCCCAAGTGTCCTGGCTCCAAGGCATACCCCTGCTCAACTCTCTAGCCACAAGGCAGAGCAGTGCAGGCAAGAAATAGTATTAACCCTTAACGTGCAGCTGCTCACAGCACATTCTAACTTTAATACTGCATACCACCTCACAGATCTGGTATGGTCAAAATGTAATATGTAAAATCACTCTTATACTCCATCTATCCTACTGCTCTCATATTCACTGTATGCCTATGTGACAATTCAGGGCTATGCAGAAACACACAAGCTAGGGCTGAATGAATGACTTCAGATACCAGAAGCATTATAGGCAAGTTAGCATGCTGCTCCACACAGGCTAATAATAATTTAGCTCTGATTCTCAGCTAAAGCCCTGATTCTCTAAGTACCCATGTGGTACACCATGAGAACACAACTATGCTGCTTCCAGTATCCAAGGTCACTCAAAGCTAACTTGACTATTTCTGTCCAGCACTACATTTTGCTTGGTAGATATACCCCTATACTGATTTGCAAAACCTATTAAGTCACAAACCAACTCCCTTTTATTTATGTGAATTGGCAAGGTTTTACTGTATTTAATTTTCTAGGTTTTTTTTATTTTATTTTAGTGAAAATGTTTGTGCTCTTCCTTTACCTCAAAGGAGATTTGCTTACCTCTGTATGTAAGAGTTGTTCACCCCTCTATGATCCAAATCATGGCTCAGTGCTGCTATCAGCAAAGCAAGCGTTTCTAGATCAGTCAGCTTGCTCTGTACATAACAGAAAATACAAGAAAAAATGTGTTTGCTTTGAATTTGTTATTAATGCATGATGCCTTTTCTTGTCAATACACAACATCTTGAGCTTTGACATATGAACATAAATTTAATCACAATAGGACAATTCCTTCCCTTACGTAAATTGCAATATTAAAAACTGGATTAAATGGTGTAAAGCAGCCTTTACATTAATTCTTACAAAGCAGCCTTCATTATATCTAAATGAAAGAGGCCAGTACCATTATAAACATTGTTTTTAAGAAGATGGGGAAACTGAGACAAAGGATGTCATGCCCAAAGTATCCAGCAAAGTGGTGACTTTGGAACTGATCCCTGGTCTCATGAGCCCTAGTCCTCTGCCCTCTCCGTGAAGCAATGCCCCTTTTTAGCAGCTAAAGAATCTATTATTTTAATCAAAAGGTCAACACAGAATCAACTCATTTATAACACATTCTTTTGCAGGAATAGTTTGCCAAGAAGTGGGAGGGGAGTTATAGCTTCTCCCTGGCCACTTCATATTTCCAACATTGTTTAATATAGATAATACAGACAGAAAGCTTACTTGGCTAGTGACCAGATGATATTGAAAAAAAAATCTCACTCAAGGCCATTTTTGACTCCAGAACCCTTTTGCTTCTTGTAAATTAGGCTGGCAGGTATTCACCATGGACAGGAATGCAGCAATTATGGAATACACAATGGGAGCTAAGAAGGTTCCTAAAACAACTTGCACCTGAGCTATTAAGGTCAGAGATCATCCACACGGAAAAGCTATGCACAAAGTGAAAGTGACATGCCTAATTTTTTGCAGAATGTATGAGAATACTAGCTACCCTCTCTTCTACTCGGTATTAATTTTGGATTTGGTTCCACAGGGAAACATTCATCTGTGTTCTCAAATAAATTACTGTATTCACTCAAATCCAAGACAAGGTTTCCTCTCCACCATTCATCATGGGGAAAAAAGCTCCTCATCTTGAATACAAGTTGTGTGTGTGTGTGTGGGGGGGGGCGGGGGGGGTAGAGTCAGAGCCATAGTAGCCACCTGCTCCCCACATCTGCCTACCCGCTGCAGCCTTTGTCCCCTCCCCCTTACTCTCAGGCATGGATCTGGCTCTGGCTCCATTCACTCCAGGGGCAGAAAGCACATTAAAACGTGGTCCCTGGCCTAGCTAACCAGGAGTGTTACAGCTCTGGCCTCAGGACACTGTTGTAGAAGCATGGCCCTGCCTGCTACAAGTGCCCCATCTTTGGGAGAAGATGGAGCTGGAGCTGCATCTGGTAGTGAAGGGGGGGTGGGGCTGAGGAAGGAGGCAGAGGCTGTGGGGAGTGGGAGGAAGGGGACAGCGAAGGCTGTGCAGAACAGTGGGGGGCAGAGGCTGCGAGGAGTAGGTGGTCAGGCTGTAGGGGAGAAAAGTTGGGGAGTAGAAGGCAAGGGGGCTGCCTGATCCCCCTAGCTCCCTACACCCCAGCCAATGGTTTCCTTGTACAGCAGTTGAGGGGGGATGGATTTAAGATGACCCTCTTATAATTAGATTCTGTACCTGGAAAATTATAGCAAATTTATATACATTTTCCCAGTATAGAATCTAATTATTTGGGGGTCATCTTAAATTCAAAGTTGCCTTGGATTCAAGTAAACATGGTACTGTCAGATGGCACAAGCCATCTTGTGCCAAAGACAAAGACTCTTGAATAAGTATGGAGGAACAATGACATTTTTTAGTTTAGTTGTTGAAGCAAAAAACAATTCAAGTCAGGTGAAGTGGAAACCTTATATACACATCTATACACATACATATACGCACATACATATACAGTAAAAGCTGCATTAACTGGCATTCTAGTAACTGGATACTAGTACTACTCTATTAACTGGAATTTCCGCCTGGCCGGATGCATGGTGCAGGGCGGGGGGAACCTGGATGTGGCAGCCACCGTCACCACCACCCTGAGCTGCTGCTGCTCCACGTGCGGCCACTGCCACCCCTCCCCTGCTCCACATCTGGCTAAAAACCCCTGTCTTAGGTAACCAAATTTTTAGATAACTGGCACCCCCCTAACCACCATACTCATGCCGGATAACAAAGCTTCTACTGTACATACACACACACGCACACACACTGAAAAATTTCATCTCAGGAAAGTCATTCTCCCTCTGCCAACTACGATGTGTTCACTTTTGGGGTATTTAATTTCCTGGCAACAGTTTTTTCCTCTGTTTTAATATAAAACTGTCAATCTTGAAATGAAATTGCCCCTGTGAAATGAAGGACTAAAACGCTTGCTGTAAAAAAATATCAAAAAAGGAACATTGCAGCACTTCCACAAATGCCCCTTGGTTAATACTTGGTTAAAAGTAGTTGCCAGATTTTAACTGAATTCACAAATAGTTTTGGTCCAGCTGAAATTACATTTCGCCCTCTACATTTTTGTAGCTGTCTTCCAAAATACTAAAAATTGTATGCTGAATACTGTGAAGGAAGACAGTGTAAGAGGGACACTCTTCTGCACTTTCTTGATTGGTGTAGGATACAAGCAGAAACTAATGAAATGCCATTAGCTGAATTAAATAGAAAGGGCATGATCCTGTAAATCAGTAGTGTATATAACATTCACTCTGGAACATCATGTGGGACCAGGCCCATGGTAATAATTTTTAAAAAGTTATACAGCCAGAATGTGAAGTATTCATCATGGACTTCAGTGGAGATACGGCAGAAGGACATAGTTCTTACTGAGATCACAATTCAGCCTATTCAAGTGTTACTGTATTTGGTGAACTAAGAAGGTCTTAAAATGAAAAATTGCCAAACATACCTGAATTTTACCTGATCTCAAGGCAGCAAACATGCACTGGGCTGTATTAAATGCATGTCTCCAATTGTGATATGCAACATTTTTCCGATAATTTTTCTTCACACTTAAAATCCATCTGCAAAGAACCTGTAACAAACAGTTCAATGTAAAATACACTACAATTTTATTTTTTTCACACAGAAAAATGAATACAACTATATTTTGTGGAAAATTTCCTCTTTCCTTATTCATTAGTAAATTTCAGAAGGCTGTGTTATATACTGAAACACTTCTTTAAGAGTAGGCATAAGGAAAATTAACTTCCCAAATTGCCAATTTGATATGTTTGCCAATATGATATTTTTTTCTATTTGGTTGACACCTGTCCATGGATAAAAGCAAGAAAAAAATGTGAATTTCAGATGCACTGCTACTAAATCTAAATATAGGAATTCAACTCTTCACTGTGTCACCTCAGTATTTTTGTTTCCTATAAAGACAATTTCTAGTGAATTCAAAGGCTTTCTTAAGGGCTGCTTGAGAAAGAGGTTTGGAAAGTAAATGCGAGTTCAACTGTGATCAAAGCACAAAATGAAATTTGGAAAGCATTAAGTATATTAAAGACTTTTTTTTAATGATGATGACCATATTTCCGGTATTATTACTCAGGAAAAAGCAAATGTGCTGGGTACTTTACGGAACAAAATTAAAGTTATGGCCTAGCCCTAGGTTTTAGTTGCATGAAAGTGATAGTTAATGGGCCAGATTTTCCATTGGTGTAACATCATCGTTTTGATGTAAATGGAGCTATGCTAATTTATACCAGGTGAGGATGTAACATCTGTTTATTTAAAAGAGTTTTAGTAGTCCTCTGAAATGGTCAAGCTGGTAGCAATGATAATCAACATCTTGCATCCCAGAAAAAAAAAAAGACACACAGAAAAGAACATTGCCAGCATACTGTAGCCTATTGGCTAATAATAAAATACATTTTGGCTTTTGATTTTGGGGTTTTTATCATGGAAAATCAGAGCTCCTCCTGTCCCCTTTTGGTCACTAGGATGCAGGTCCAAACCCCTCACTCCCAAGCCACAGCCCCCCCACCCCTGCTGGTACCCCTCACTTCCCTCCCACAGCCTCTATAACCCCCAACAGCTCTGCTGGAGGGGGCCCCCAGCTGCCAGGGCTATGGGGCCAGGGACCCAGATCCATAGCCCCCTGACCACCCGCAGCAATATCTGGGCCCCAGCTGCTACCCATGGGAGGTGGCAGCCGCTGCAGCGGAGCAGAGCACAGAGCCTGGCTCCCCCTCCCCAATGGGTGGCGCAGCCTTAGTGGAGCCCATTGTGGGGTGTGGATGCAGGCTGCCCGCTTTGGGCTTGGGGCTCCTCACTCTGCTGCCCTCCCGCTGGGGCCTCCACAGCACAGTGGGTGGGACCCAGTTTGGCAGGGCAGAGTGGGGTTGGGTGAGGAAGCTTGGTGCCACCACTGACAGCTCTGCACTGCCATGGTGAGGTGCCCCCTGCACAACTCTGTGCAGCCATCCCTGCTGCTGCCAAATGGGCAGGGGTTGCTTCATCAGAGTGGCATGGGGCCCATGCCAGCAAAGAGGTTCCCCACCCGGCCCTGCTCTGCCTTGCTGTGCCAGGTCTCATCCGCTGGGCTGTGGAGGCCCCAGGGGGAGGGCAGCAGGGTGAGAAACCTGAGCCTGCAGCAGGCAGCCTGCCTCCACCCCAATCCTGCGCACAGATCTGTGGGGCATGCATCCCCTCTGGCCATGCATGCAGTGGTGGAAGCCAGCCTCATCCCCGCATCCCCTGTGGCTCCATCCTGCTCTGTGCTGGGGCCCTGCTGCCTCACTCCCTGCCAGGACCCTGCAGCAGCCCTAGCCCCAGCTCCAGCCGTGCCCAACCTCTCTCCCTCCCCTCCCCACAGGGGCCTCAATCGCTGCTCCCCACCACTAGACTTACCTGCGGGAGCTGCTCTCCAGGCTGCCGTGTGTGTGCGTGTGTGCACATGGAGCCCCGTGCCTGAGTGCCCTTGTCCCGCTCCCCCCAGCCCCTTGCAGAATGGAATTCCAGCCTGCAGAGACCTCTTTCCAAAAGCAGAAAATCTGCATTTCCCCCTGTTAAAAGGGAAAATCCATATTTTTTCAGTTTTTCTGCAAAAAATGGGAAACCCGGATCCCTGCTAATGAGCAACCCTTGTGCTCTGATCAGACAATAGGTTTGGCTGATCAGACAGGGAGTGGCTTGGGGGGATAAAAAGACTGTCCCTCAGGCTAGAAGAAGGGGCAGTCTAGCCCTTAGTGAGAAGGAAGCAGGACTCCCAGGCAGACCATGGTGGTATCCCAAAGTTCAGGAAAGGCAGCCCTTGTGGGTAAGGACAAAGAGGGTTTTTTTCCCCCCCTTCTCTCCTTTTTACCTCCTGAGTGGTCCAACAAGGGAGAAGGATTAAGTTTATGTTGGTTTTGGTTGGGAGCACCCAGAGGAGTGGTATTTTAGTTGGATTTAAGTTAGAAAACACTAGAGGACCAGAAGCAGCTGTGAGGGGAGGTGGAGGCAGCACTGCATGCACATTAAAGCACTCCACAAGTCTAGCTCCTTGTAGGCAATGTAGTAATAGTGTGGTCACATCTATGAGATACTTTAAGTGGGCTAATCAACACTAGTGAAAGATAGGACCAGTTAGTCTGCCCCCCTAAAAATTAACTCACCTACAATGCCATGTAAACACAACTACGCTGCTGCCAGTTTAGGAGCAGGCAATGAGGAGCAGGGTGGCATGCGTGAAGATGTTGCTGATGAGCACAATAAGTATACTATGTAGATGTGACCAAAGAGAACAATTCATCACTGACTTCTTTCTAACAACTATTCATATTGAAAGACTTATGTCCCATCCCTCAACTTCCTCTTAATCAGAGAAAACAAACATAATACATTTAAAGTAATGCTTTCCAAACTTCTTACTGTTCTCATTGCTCTCTTCCAGACTCTCTTCTATGCTTTTCCTAAAACAGGATACCTAAAACTGGACACATTATTCCAGCTGAATCTTCAGCAAGACCAGGCGAAGTGCAGCAATTGCCTCCCATGTCTTACAGGCAACATTTCTTGTAAAGCATCTCAGAATAAGATTTTCCTTTTTTGAAACAGCATCACATTGTTGCATCTTATTCACTGTATTACAGTATCATCCCAGTTATTTTTCATTTCATAATTCTGAATGTGGTTTCTCCAATTTAAGTGCAATATTTTGCACTTATCTTTTTATGGACTTTAATCTTGCAGATTCGGGTCATATTTCCAATGTATCAAGATTATTATGCATTCTAATCAGGCATTCCATAGCATCTGCATGTATTCTCAGCTTGGTGTCACCCATTAATTTTATAAGTGTATTCTCTATTCCATCATCCAAGTTGTTAATGAAAATAAATTTAACAAAGCTGAAACCAGGACAGGCACTTGTTATGACACCAAACAACATGTCCTCCCAATCTGACATCAAGCCACTGGTAAACTACTCCTTGAACCTAGTTTTCAATTTGCACCCTCAGAAGGGTGGTAACAATGTTATCTAGACTTTGTTCCCTTAGTTTACCCTTTCAACATAGTACAGTTCTATAGCATCCATACCTCATGTTTCATTTGGAAATTTTGCACCAGGTTGAGATCTGTGAACATTCGAATTGTACACAGCGTTGTCTCAAAATCTGAAAGCTCAAAGTCACTGAAGTTGAAGTCAGTCAGGTTTAGAGACTGTGCAGATGGCACTACAGCAGCCTGGAAGAAAATAAATGAAAATGAATCCAGCAGTGGCAATCAGAGAGTATCCAGTACTCATGTCTTTTTGCATCAGACAAACATCAACACACTGAAAATTTCACCTTTGTGCTATACTAAAAGCTGGTGACTGCACCCTCTTATTTATCAGTCTCTTTGTTTAACATTAATTATACTTGAGTCACAGAATTAAGGCAAACCTTTTCTTGAGAAAAAAAAAGAAAAACAGGTTACCCTTACCCTGGGCTTTTCTTCTGTTACCTATATATTCTAGGGTGACATCATGCCACTGATTTTCAAAAGGTTTTAGCAGCAGTCCTCCAGCAACCTATAGTAAGTATGTGTAAATGGTGATTTTTAGAACAGCAAAAAGGTACCTCTCTGACCCAAAGTCCTTGTCAAATTCCTACCAAACATTTCAGAAACATGAGAGCTCAAAAAAGAAACAGACGGAAAAAATACTTTTCTCCCAAGTTCACTCTCAGAAGTGGCTAGACCCATTCTTGCTGAGACTTTAAACAGAAAGGGAAAAATAAAGCGCCACAAGGCAGATAGCAAGCACGGAAAATTTCAGCCTGTGAACGGGGTTAAAGTTCAGCAAAGTTATAAGCAGCTGAAAACAGGGGACTATAAGAGGAAGTGTCACGCTACTTTAAGTACAGATGTCCCCTGCCTGCTTTATTTCGGGTAAAAGAAAAAAATCTAAAGCACTAATCCATAATATTTTAACAGTAGTCATATAATATACTCTTTGTTCAGTAAGATATGCGCCAAAGAGCATTTTCTCTCTCATCTTCCAGACACGTACTTGTCCTGTCCCTTTTCTCACTTCTGATTTAGCTTAGATTTAGATTGCAAGGGTCTGTGTGCAGGACCTGTCTTTTACATTACTCAGCAAGCCACATACACAACTATAGCAAAACAAACACATGCAGAGCCAACATTATAACCCTGGTCTGACCTTTGAGGTTCAGCCTATGAAGTAACAGATGTGTTTTTCTTGGGGTATTATTGCTTTTACGCTAGAGTGATTTGTCTTTTTAATAAGAGACCCTTAAAAACTGCTAGGAAGAGGATCATCCAAACTGCATGACTCCTTTTATCCGATTCTGTTCAATCCCGTCCTCTGTCCTATACATTCTTCAGCATCAATTTTAGATGCCACAAAGCCAAACCTCTCTCCTTCGCTTGTGACACATAATCCAAGCTGACCCACCACAGGCTTAGTAAACATCTCTCCAGTGACCTGGAAACCACACACTATTTCCAGATCTGCTACCTACCACAAAGTCAAGATATCCAACGCTACATGTTGTCACATTAACATTAATTACTTGCAACATGAAAAAAAGCAGCTGACACCGCTTTCAATAAATCACCTCCATTAATAGGAGCTTGGTTTGGTAATCATCATGTTATTGTATACTCTCATTATGTCACATTACAGTCAGGATTGAGTGGGACAATCTGGGAATCTGCAAAGAGCTAACAAATTGTTTGATACCAGGAACTCTGCATAGTGTCAGTCTGTAGAGTCCAGATTTTTACTACCCTGCTGTGTTTTGCTACCCTTCTGAGCTAAAACTTATAGGTGGTAACAGGAGAAATTATTGCACCTTGCTCAAGGTAGGTTGTTACATTTTTATGTTCTTCCATTTAAATGGCACACTGTCATACAAAGAGATAACTGTTGCCCACAACACCAGTTTTTGAAGTCTGAAATCTAGGGGGTAGCAACAAAAAACTGGATCACATGGTTGGAGACTTGGCTCACGTGGCAGAGGGTATGGCTGGACCTTATCAAGCAAAATGGATCAGTCACTATCTGTTGAATAGTGAAAAGGCTCCGATAGCAGCAATGAAAGGGAGAAGGACAGGAAGTGGGAGATAAAAATGAAGATTATCCCAGATTAGAAGCAGAAAGTTGGTTGCAGGAGCAAAAGGAGACTATATTGTGGACGAGAAGCTGTGGAAAGAGGGAAGGAACCTGGATACTTTAAGTCAGAGTTAAAAACCTCTGACCTAACCCCAAGAATTCACAAGAGGGATGAGGCAGCTGAAACGCAAAAATGTATTTAGAGGCTTTGCTGTTTTGTCTTGATCTATCTCTCATGATCTCCAAACTAAGGGGTAATTGTGTTACAAACCTTTGCAGAGCCTATGCAGATGTGCTTCAATTACTGTGGGTCCCTGAAGAGATGGACTATAGCCCAAAGTGCCCACAAGTTTAGAACTCTGAGAAAGGGTGAACTTAAGGATGGGTTGGGCAGGAGTCAGCAGCTGTCTTGGGGGCAAAGGGCAAGTCCCACTATCAGAGCTGAAAAAATAGTCTTTCCTTTAGCTTTTCTGGACATAGAAGTGTATGCAACTGCCCAAATTAGGGACAGTGCAAGGACAGCTGGATCCACTGAAACAGCATCCAAACAGCAGCCTGATGAGCATTCAGAAAGGAAGCTTTCCTGGGGCTGTGACAATGATCAGATCAGTTTCAAAGGAGGAGAGATTTTCACCCAAGTGAGCACAATCACAGACTAAAACATGGCCAACTACCTCTCTCCAGAATGGAAGACTGTATTCTGAAGAGGGAGTAGGTGTCCATTCCAACTATAACACTACTTGCAATTGTACAACTCAGATCTTTCTCCTAGTAGAAAGGATATCTTTTAACGACCTAGATTTAGCTTTATTCCACACAACTTTTTGTACTTTTTCAATGTTATTGATGTACTTAAATCAGGAATACAGAATCATGAAGCTAAGGTTATGGAACTGAGATAAAGAAAAAAAAACAATCCCACAACTATACATTATTTGGCTTAACTTTGTTTCCTTCATTTTAGGTCCACCTTATGTCCCACTTTGGGGGCCAGTAGAATATTCTCCAAGGGAAATAATCTAAACACACAGGAAACCTAGGCTAGGGACAGAAGTTACATATAAACTGGTATAAGCAATCGGAAAGCAATTCAAACCTGTAACACAATAGGGGTAAGTAAAGACAATCAAAATCTGGAGGCTGAATTAATTTAATCTTCGTAGGTTAGTCCAAGCCACTTCAATTGAACCAATAGGCAAGTGAACAGACATTCACTTTTGATTCCAGAAATACAGCCACATGTCTGCAGTGGCCCAGGCCAAAAGCTGGGGGTGCTAAAGCACACCTCAGCTGGAGCAGACAAGGCTAGCCCATCCACCATGTGATGGGGAGTTTGTGTGGGAAGCACAAAGCATCCTGGGATGCTGAGGGGCTGAGAATTAACTTGCAACTGGAAGGGATCTGGGACAGTTCAATAAACTGATTTAACCTAATCAATTAAGTCTGATACTACATCCATCCAGGTTCATCTTAAACCAGTTTCAGCCATTTTGAAAGCAGTTCATATGCTCTGAACTTCTGTCGTATTACACATCTGAACCAGTTTCTGATCACTTATATCAGTTTATATGCAATTTCTGTCCCTAGGCTAGAAGTTCAGTGCACGTAAACCACTTTCAAAAGGGTGGAAACCAGTTTAAGATAAACCTAGATGGATATAGTTATCAGAGGATGCATACACACATACAAAGGCAACTTAAGGCACCTTAAGTTAAGCCATGTTGGAGTGTACACATGTACAGCTCCTTGACATGGTGGCAGCCATCTTGTGAGCTAAGTCAACTTGACTAATACGACTCAAGATAACATAGCTCTGAGGTGTATAATCTTGCTCTGCATTTAAGTTGACTCTGCTTCATATACGTGTGTATGCTCTGACAGTTAAGTCAGCTTTAAACAGTTAAGTCAGCTTAACTGTCACAAAGTCAGTACTCTGTGTATGTACCCAGACTGAACTGATTCAGGTTAAATCAGTTGATTGAATTTCTGTCCCAGTTCCCCTCCAGATTCAAGTTAACTCATAGTCCCCCAGCATCCCAGGATGCTTTGCACCTCCCTAGCAAACCCCACTTCATAGGTTGGGTGGACTAAACTCAGCCCAGGCTGTCTGCTAGAGCCCAGGAGGGAGACATGTCTTAGCACTCCCCGGCTTCTGGCCTGGGCCACTGCAGACATGTGACTGCATTTTCAGAATCAAAAGTGAATGTCTGTTCACTTGCTTATTGGTTCACTCTATGCAATTTAGGCTAACCTGCCAAGACTGAATCAATTCAGCCTTGGGTTTTTTGACTGTCTGTACTTAGCCGTAATAACTTCCAAGTGATATAGCACTGGGGTGTTATACATGTTCTCACAAGCCAGATTCAGCCCACAAAACCATTCCATCCAGCCCACTGGTAGTCCAGTGGGCTAACAGAAGTTGGGGGGCATGGCCTGCCATGGAACTTGGGGTCCCTGGATCCAGATGGCTGTAGTGATCATCAGCAGCCACCTGGACTTGTGCTGCTGCCTAAATGGAGCTCTGCACTGCCACCTGAATGTGTCTCCATTAAAACTGCTGCTGGCTTGCAGGAGGAGCCCCTGTGGTCCACATCCAATCTAGGGCCTAGGGTGAGTTTGATACCCTTCCTGCAGCATTTTTAGTGTTTTCAACTGTACATACAATGATTTAATTAACTAGGAGCCACGGTTTAATTTTGCTTTCATTAAATCACCACGTTCTTCCACCTCCAAAGTACTGATAAAACAGAGATTACATTAATTCATTCAAGATGGTGAAGGTGGGATAGTAATTCCATAGTCAGTGGAATATTATGATTCTCTGCACTGGAGGTTGTGCTCTTGTCCCCAGTAAAACAGAAGACATTTCAGAAAGACATTTAATCTGTCTGGTGCCATACTAAACTTGCAGAATATTATCCTGACTGTGTAAAGGGGTAGACAGAGGATATAACCCTAACTGTCTTCTTGCATGCTTTTAAGAATGCCTAATGCAATGTCTTACTATATCATTATCATTGCCACTGGGTACTGATCCTCAGAGGCATAGAAAGCTCTTTCAGCACCTGGAGCAGAGGTAGTGATGGGGAGAAAAGGAGTGGGGAGAGGCAGGGAAAGGAGCAGA